TCCCTCCAGGGTTGAGAATGAGTACTTAAAAGAAGCCAGAAGGTGCCCAAGCAACTGACCTTGTGAATCTGACATTCCTGTGGCAGTACCCATTGACATTTCGGGCTTGATTGGATCTGCGGCTGTGAGGAGCCATCTTGTGTAGCTCACAGGGTCAAGGAGGCACGCAAGCCATCACACTACTTCAACATGCAGTCCCTTCGTGATGACCTATACTAACTACTAATACTACTACTTATGACCAGTCCACCCAGTGGAAAACACCAAGCATTTGCTGTTGTCCTCCCATTTTAGTGTTAACACCTGCGTCATGGGAATAAAGTGGGTAGGACTTCCTCAATAGAAGCAATCTCGAACGCTGGATCGTTTGGAGGCATTTGCAGAGGAGTTCGAACGACTGGTCATTTCGGAGCCGGAAACACCCTCTTCGACCATACTGAGTTGTTTTTCTCATGGACCGAATGGTCAACCTTTGGAAACAACCGATGTTTGTTTAGGACGCAGTCCATTTTTGACAAATAACGATAACTTGACTCCACCAGAGCAAACCAAACACTAATCTGTGAAACAACCAATTCCCGGATTTTGGGCATCCTACCTACCTAAATTCCAGCTCGATTCACGAGATATACTGTCTTGCATTAGTTGAACTCCGATGATACATCGTAAGAAGCAAGCATTTAATATCCACATCACAGCGGTTCGGAGTGCATGTAAAAGAGCTGGAAATACACCGTACAGCTATAGAAATGATTAAATAACCCAGATTTATGGTGTTAATGCGCATAAAACGGTACAAAAAAACCGTCAATCGTCACCGACTCTATGGTAACGGTTTGAATGTACAAAAGCTGATTAGGATTCTTCCACTGATCGAGTGCCGTTGGAAGCGGAGCTTGGAGTCTGTGTCATGATAATTTGTTTTATTCTGAACTTTTTTATGAGTCAGCGCTCAGCTGTTTCTGATTTATTTTACGTCGTTCTCGTGAAGCGTTGCGCCCGACTCTTTCCCAGCTGCTGGGTTTGCTAGACAATCATCTGGGAATAAAATTCCACGAGGACTTAGTCGCATTGGTAGTCGAAATTCTCGGAGTGCGATAGATGCGATAAATGTTTTGCTCTGGTCTGGAAGATTAAACCACTCTATCAAGTGTTATGAACATTGTTTAACCATTTTAGGGAAGCAATTTGCCGGGGTCGGAAAAAAAATAACAGAGTAAGGAAAATACAACAAAATGTACGGGGCATCTGGTGACCGNCTATTGGTAATGGTCATAACCTGTTCCATCTGATTAGGAATACGGGCCTTAGGATAATAGGCTTGAGTGAGTTAAATAAGGACTCCGATGACACACTGATTCACAATCAGCAACGCCGTCTTGACCGTTGGGCTGAACATTNTCAAGACTCAGTTCAAATGGCCTCCATCGACATCTTATCTTCCACTCTCCGCCTCCACTGGAGAAATACTCCCAGTTGATGCTAGTCCTCCATCTGAAATGGAGGTTTCTCGGGAAATAAGTTATCTGAAAGGCCTCTGGCCCAGATGGGCCTTTCCCATCAGCGTTTAAGGATTGAGACTCAGCGTTAGTCTTGGAATTGATAAAACTCCTGGGTTCAATATGAGAAAGGGAATAGGTTCCAGCTGAATGGTGTGAATCGCTGATCATACCGATTTACAAGAACGGTGACAAATCTTCTTGTGAAAACCACAGAGGCATTAGTTCAATCAACATCGTTTTTAAACTTCTCGCCGGGGTCATACTCCGTCGATTGTCTGCCGCACGTGAACGGTGCACGCGTGAGAACCATGCTGGTTTTAGACCTGGTCGAGATTGTGTCGACCACACCTTCACTCGGCGTCAAATTCTGGAGCATCTGCATTTTTTTCGTAGACCCACCATCTCTATCTTCCTCGATCTGAAAGCGGCTTTCGGCTCAGTCGACTGCTCTAAACTCTGGCGCCGCCTTTCTCTGAAAGATGTGTCCGAGAAGTGTATTTCAATATTACGATCGCTTTATACTAATAGCCGAATTCGAGTCCGGGCTTACGGCATGTTTTCGCCCGAGTTCACCACGGAAAGTGGTGTTCGACAGGGTTGCCCTCTCTCCCCTTTCCTATTTAACTTTTTTGTAGATCTGATTATGGAAACAGCCCTATCTTCGTTCGACGATAGTGTCATCGATTTACTCCCAAATGGCAGGCTGCCTGATCTAGAGTACGCAGACGACATTGTGCTTCTAAGTGAAGATCCAGGTAGGTTGCAAGCATTTCTGGATAGGTTGAGTGCTAGTGTAACGATGTTCGGCATACGCTTTTCACCTTCAAAGTGTAAAATGTTGCTCCAAGATTGGGTTAGCTTAGTCCCCAGCCTCACCTTGACCGGGGAAGTTGTAGTTGTTGTTGTACACAGCTAAAGATTAGCATGCAATGTATGTGACAGGAGTTCATCCCTTATCCTATTTTGTGATTGTTTATCTATTCTATTTACTCCGATCAAGCAGAATATAGATGTTTTCATTTGTCGCTGGAATATGATATTCTCTAAAACCTCCACCATCTCTCTATGTTAAGCCTACAATGCAGTTGTTATTCTGTGCCGCAAACTAAATGAGTTTATGCTCATTGTTGAATCGCTTGGCGCATTCACTGGCTCTATCTCGGATCCACGGGATCTTCAGTCTCAGTAGGTTACGAGAAGTAAGGATAGACGGTATATTGTCATTATCAGATACTCTTTTCATGAATCTTCGCCTTATCCCAGTTTTTGCTATATTCGACGAATTATGCTTTTGGTTTTGAAGTTCCCTGTGTGATCGCGTAACATTCCTTCTCCGTCCTTCTCATTCACTCCCAAAATACAGGTTACCAATCTTATCTATCTTTTCTGGGAACAAACGAGTGAATTATCTGTGCTCGATCTCGCTCGTCGCACATTACGTCCGTTGAGTCCACTGGTCAGCACCTCACTCTCAGCCAGCGCTAATCGAACACGTGTTCATGCAGGGCTCACATGGGTGGGTAATCGATTGTACGTGGTTGGTGGTTTCTCGGAATTTGTCGGGGACGATCGTCGACCAACAGTGCCCCGGGATGATGTACATTGCTATGACCCGGAAACCAACAGCTGGTTAGTTCTCATCCCATTTCGTATGTTTAGTTTTTGAAATTGGTATGTTGGTTGTCGGTGACCGGAGAAAAACCTGGATTGCAATGTTCACATTCGAGGCGTGGGTGAGACGTACTTTAGGGGCTTACAAGTTGCGTTATTCCACTCGGTATCCTCGTAGCACAAGGAAAACGATGTGAACGGTTTCTGTCACGGTCAGGAAGTGGTTGTAATTTGCTGGCGCAGGGAAAGAGGTAGTCGCTCAGATACCTTGTTCTTGTTTAACGCACACTAAACCCAAGCACTCAACATCAGCCTGATGTTTCGGTGAAGCGTATTTCACCACAACGCAGTCAGCTCGACTTTAATTTTCGCTCTCATGCCGCAGAATAAAAGCGTACTCTTCTTCGAGATGTGATTGCGTAATACACCGAGATCCCTGCAGTCACAATAACAGCGTTCCAAAGTACATGGTGNACATGGTGTACCGTATTCAGGAATTCAAAATATGTATGAAACTGGTCTTTTCGGGAAACAAAAGTGATAATTTTATAATTCGTGACATAGAGGTGATTTTACAAAATCCCAAGCATTAAAACCTTAACATTGTACCTCTCTCTGAAACGTAATTCGTAAACCGTGATGGTGTCCCGAAATAACAGTAGTCTATATGGCTTAAACATGGTGTTTACTCCAACGCTTTCACTTTTTTGGATGCAGCTTTCAAATATGGTGAGATTTCAGTTTGTGCCACCCGACGTCCACGATGAAACCAAATCCACTTTGGAAAAGTACCCCTATATGGATGAAACTAAACGCCTACTTTGCGCTAGGTCATCAAGCAAAATTAAATGCGGTGAGAGTTGGCCGGGTATACGCTATCCGTCCGTTATCTCGCAGCTCAAGTGTTTGTATTTTACCTCTGTCACCCTATTTTTCCATTGATAGTTCCTCATCCTTGGAGTGGCTGAAATATTGGTTGTACAATCTTCGGACATCAGATAAATAGTTTTTCTGTTATACACCAACACTGATTTGGGAGATGTTTTCTTCTATTCGTGAAAGCACCGTTTATTATTCCATGTTTTTCGTTGTTCTGAAGTTGACGTGGTGATTAGATCAACTTTGGAGTAACATGTTTCGTACCAGAAATCCATGCTCCCTTGGTATCCTTGTTTTTATCATTTGTAACATTACTACTCGTCGCATAATGAGTAGGCATTATGATTCGTTTCAAAAAGAAGTATCCTTTGTTAGGAGCTCCAACAGGCAAATGTACGAGCAGGCCACACGCCTCCCTCCCTTGCTAAAACAAGAATCAAGTTCCGGAATCGCTCAGGCAATACGGCAATAGTTACGTGATTAACCCGTTCCGTATGTGTTCTATGATTATATGACAATCAGGAAGAACAAGCTGATGTACTTGTCTACTGATCGCAAATCGGCACTGTCTGAAATGATAGTCCAGACAGGTACTGTGAACTTGAATTCCGAACCGACGGACTACAACACTATACTGCCACCACCAGGCTGAAAACTGACGGATTAGACCATCACACCGCACAGGTATCATGTCCGGGAATAAAGTCCTCGTCGCGGTATCATCACAGAATGGAAGAGAACTCTGCACTGATCGATCTTATTAGCACGGTCCGCAATGTGATAACTACGAGGAAACTGCGACGGAACTCTTGGTTAGTATTGGTCAAGCAGAAAATCCAAAAGACTAAAGCTCATTCACAGTGGTTGAAGCTCCAGAGACCACATACTTGATGGTCAGACAGCAGCCTCATCTTCAGCACGAGTGACGGAAAAGCAGCGTTTCCGAAACCACCTCAACACCCAGTTACCTGTAATAATATAGCACAGATATTGATATTTAACTTTTGCATGGGTTCTCAGATTTTTGAGGCAATTCTGAGAATTCGGAAAGCATCTCGGTAAGCTATAAAAGCTTACTATCTTCCTAAGCCCAATATATTCGCGTTAGAGCGAGTTCGAAGATGCTCTGACAAAAGCCCTAGTTCCGCNCCGGTTGACTACATTTGGAAGACACAAAACCACTGTCGGGTGTGCCTTGATCGTAGTTCTGTAACGGAGGTTGTTCGTTTTCAGTCACTAGATTTTACAATATGTTCGGTACTCCAAAGGCCCCTGTAGGTCCGGTTTGACTAGATATTACGAGCCTTCGTTTTCGTTTGATTTTCTTTTGAAAACTTCAGCGGGTGTTTTTCTTTTCTCTGTGTAGCTTGAACGAAAACACGCCTTCAAGCTGTAATGAAGATATCCTGTTGGTCTACCAGTCGTAGAATCTGCCAGTTAGTTTCAATCCGATCTCGAGAGTTTCATCGACGATACTTGAATCTCATTGCACGGAAACTTATATACTTATTACCAAAATGACGTCTTTAGTTGTCAGACGGAAGCAGAATTAAGCTTACAACTACTCAGTCGATAATATAGTTCATTTAATTCTATGTTCTGTGTATGACGACCGAATAATTTCACTATCACGCACAAATTGGTAGTGCCACTTGCGCTCCGTGCTTACTGGTGTCGAAATCCCTGCTGTATTTATTTTATTATATCTCCGTCAAGTTCCCTTTCTTTGCCATAGTTGTATCACAATCGACGACTGCTATTCTATTGTAATTCACATTTTAAATCCTTTGTTCATAACTTATGTATTGCTCGTGCAGATGTGCAGCTGGAGCTTTGTTTAATATCTTCTATTCTCTACAGGGGAGTTCATTGATTTAATTCAGACCACCCGGGCTACGAGAACCGATTTTTAATAATTTATCAATTTAATGGATCAATTAATATCGTTGATTTTTTATCCGCTATGTCTCTCCGATTTTCTGCACAGGTCCTTGGTTAAAGTAACCAACACAACTGTTCCACGGGCCATTTTTGGTTGCGTGTGCCTTAACATGTGACGATGAAAATATGCGTACATCATGACGCTATGATTCCTTCGCGAATCCCTGTCAAATACATATATTACCGTGCATCCAGATTTTTCCGGCTGTGTCTGCAACAAATCCGATAATCCGTATAGCCTTATTTATCTCGAGGTCGACTCAGTTGTGTCCTAACCAACTGACCAAATGCTTACCTGTGTTTGCTATTCATTCACGTCCATTCATACATCAAACGTTTCCGGATTTCCTGTAGTCCATTGGAATTCGTTTCATATTGCAGTTGCTTCCTTTATCACAACCTTTTTTGGTATTATGCATTTAACTGTGTTGGTGCTCTCCTAAGCTACCCGGAGAACTTGATCTTTCCTCCCATCCCAAATCATCATCCTTGGTTGCTGTTTACTGTATGCAAATCATTCGCCGGCTGGTCGGTGTTATTCCTTGTATTTTTTCATCATTTGTGTGCGTTATATGTCATCGTGTTTACTGCTTCCACCCTTCCCTTAATTTCCATCGTTCATGCTTCCAAGCGTTTGAGTTCACCCGCTGCATTCACTCAGCTATCACTATTCCACCTCTGTTATTTCGTGTGGTCACCTCGCCTTGCATTTCTCACGTAACCCGCTGGACCGGGTCACTCCTTCATGCAAGCACAAACACAAGTGTGCGAAGTGAGAGATAGAGAACATAAATTGGGGTCAAGGAGATATCACCGTGCACCGACAAAGACAAACGTTTTGCATCTACGATGCACGTATTTTGTTTTGACTCTACCTCACTTTTTCCAATGCATCAACAACGGCAAGATACATTTATTTTGTACTCGGTTCTTGGTTTTCCCCTCCGTATTTTGCGTTTCCTTTCCATCCAGTCCAAATATTTTTATTTTTCCTGTGGACTTATTAGTGAGATGACTGTCCAACTTGTGCGAACATTTCCTCTCGCTATTCGGGCCTCTTTCCTCTAAACACCCATTCTTCTTGGTCCACAAGACCCGGAGGAAGAACACTGACCGCTATAGCGTAAATCTTATGAAACATTCAGTGCTGTTCGGCGTCAAATGTGGATATTTACTCCGTAAACTGTGTGCTCCAATTGTGTACAATCCGGCGTCATCTTTCATTGGGATTTTACGTGGGATCTGGATTATGTCATTGTTCCTTCGTTTTCCGTTCGATTGCGTACATAGATTTGCCAGCCGTTTTCTTGTTTGCTTTATACCTCTCTCCCCACTTCCACCCTTCAGTATGTTTTATTCACTTATCTTTTACCTCTCCTTGGTTGATCATGTGATAGTTGTGGTGCGATTTTTTTTAACAAATGCAAACTAGAAAGCTGACTTTCAACATTTTGTTGTGCGAGTAAAACGTTTAGCACATGATACTTTGCACAAGTATGCAACATACATGGTAAACCCGTCGCTCATGACAAGAAACAGATCGGCACACTATACACGGGTAATGGGATGACATTCTTAATCTGGCATTTGTATTATGGAGTTGATCACCCAGTTTGGCCGTTCCGGTGGTGACCTCCTCTACAGAAAGACTACTCGTTCAAACTGTTAGCGATGTTTGTTGAAACAGTTGACGAGACTAAACCTTGTTTTGGCTAAATTAGTGCATGCCCAGTTCTCTGAGAACTAGATCGTTGAGCTTGAGAATAGCAATCCCACCGCTTTAAGGCGCGCAACTGGACTTAACTAGACAGCCTGTTACATTCAATCATTATCTACATCGCACAGGAATGGAACCTTGTTTGAATATCTATCTACTTAGTTTACTTAGCGTTTCGGTCACCGGGTGAAGTTTCATTTAATAAAATTGGTTTCACCTCGGTTGATTCTGCGCGCTGCGCAAAAACTTCACTTTGAACCAGGTCGAAGCTAACACCATGGGATCTTCATTTTTATACTGAGGTTGATTTGTTCGACTCCCCTTTTGTTTGTGGTGTTTTGTCCAGGTTGACAGCTTTGCTGCAAGGAGGGGGCGTCAAAAAGAGCAACCATCAGAGATATCACTGGAAAGTCCGTAAGTGGTCGCTCAAGTATTCAGGACAGTTTAATTCCGGAATGTCTGAGCTAAAACTACACGCAATGGCTTCAGCTGTCTCCGTTTCAGCCAAATTGACGAATTTACTCAGATGGTAGGGTGGCTCCAAATTATCTACACTCACGTCATCGCATTTTGACCTCGAGACCAAGTGTACCCAGAATACCACACCATAATGGATTGCCGAGTATTTTCCGACTGATATACTGCAAAGATCTTATGCCTATACGATTACTGCGCGGTTTCGCACTGCCGGACTATGTTGTTGACTGAGTTGTGGTCGATGCGAAAGGTGTGCAACCAAAATACAGTTGGATACCAAGTGTATGAAGCGCAGTGGTTGCAGGCAGGTATGCATGCAACTGGTCTAGTATGTGAGTTGACCCGCTATTGTCGGTGATTTCACTATTTAGTATCACAACAGATCAATAGTTGGATATGTTGATGCATTATACTCTAATCAAGCCAAATCGCGAAATGCATTATTCTACCTAATGCATGGAAAACTCGTTATATGCACGTAAGTGAATCCTTTTGATTAGGCACAAACCAGTAGCATGGTAATTCATGTACAATAATAAAAGCATATCCTCAACCGGTACTGGCCGTACAAGTCATCAGTCAATCAATAACAAGCAGACACGTGGTGCAGTCTGATTGGTCATTGTAATTAAGGTCGCGTGTGAGGGACGTCTGTATTATGTGTGTACATCGAGCATTGATGTTGCGCGTTCAGTGGGAGCAATGTATACAAGAGTTATCCAACAAATGCATTAGGCCACACAACATCACCTTCCTTTTATTAGCGTTTATAATACGTAGAGGTCAAATGGTTTGGGTTTCGGTTGGATCGTCTGGGCTGTCCCATCTTACAGCCTTGGGCGGCGGCGATAACACAAGGAGCCCTGTCTGAGTGACGTGGTTTTTTGGTCCGTATAAGGCATCCAGTATTCAACGGATCTGTCTCTGTTGTATGTATCCTGGTATAATTTTAAGCATTTCTTGTAAGTCGTGTCATGAAAGTTGAGTGGACGAAAAGTAGTCGTATTTTCCCCCACTCGGCTGTACGCCTTCTTGAGACAAGGTGTAGCCGAGAAACTGCAAGCTGGAGACACTAAACACATATAGCTGCACCATGGTTTCTCGAATCTTTCGAAGCACAGCTTGAAGTCGCTTTTCATGCTGTTCCTGAGTACACATGAACACACAAATATCATCAAGGTGAATCACATTGCCGATCTTCCTAACGAATGCCTGGGTCACAAGGGTTTGCCACACAACGGGTGCAGAGCTCAGTCCCATTGAAGGAATTACGAGTTTGTGGATCAGAATCTGTTTATCCAAGATCTGTGAGTCATTTGAGATACGAACGTTACTATCCTATACTTCGTCTATAATGTACGCCAATTCGCAGGCCTCCGATGTCAGTTTATCGGCGTCCTCTTTCAAGAGTGATTCTCGAAGTCGATCGTCTTTGATGCCAGATATGAATTACTGAATCAACATCGTTCCTTCGAGTTTCTCCTGAGGCAACTTAGAGTACTCACAAAATCGCACTG